TGCTGAAGCCCTTAGAAGTGCAGGGCCCACCATTTATCCAGGGGCCATTATTAGGAATGTATTTGGTCCCACAGCCATCTGGCTTGAGCTGATTTTCAGCCACTATATACTCAGATACATCTGCGTTAAACTTGGTAAGGCCCCACTTTTGGGAGATGTAAAATTCTAGCAGCCAGCTACCTTGAACGTGGTCCCGCAGGGGGCCTCAGTCCCATGCTTCTTGTTCTGCAGTGTGGTGTAGATGGACATGACGACTGGTCGGCATGGACCCTGGCCAGGCTGCCTCAGGCTTTTTGAAGGCACCACCGCATACCTGTCTGGAGCCTATGCTGGGGACAGCATGAGGTCAGACACGAATGTCTGCTAGGATGGGCTGTCTCCATGTCCCTTTGGGCAACGCACATGAGCCACAGGCTGCATTCACTACCAAGGAGGCTGCTGTCTGCAGCCATTGGGCATCAGGACCCCCAAGAGGAAAAGAACATGATTGGCTTAATTGGCTGCAGTTTTTGTTTTTGTTTCTTTTTTTTACCTTTTTTAGTATTCATCCCAGAGTCTGAAATATACATTTACAGCTAATCCAAGTCCACTTTCAGATAATACTATGCACATCACCGTCCGTGTGAGTGCCTCGTGATAACAAAATAACCCTAGTTCCTCCTTCCTGTCCCTTATATCATTGCTGCCACTCATTTCATATATACATAAGCACACATATATGTATGTATATAACATTAACATATATAATCAACTACAGTCTAGATGTTATTATATTTAACAAATTGTTGTCTGTTTGCTCAATTAATAATAAGAAAAATAACTTTTAATTTTCATTTTACCTATTCATTCTTTGGTGCTTATTCTTTTCTTTACACAGATCCAAATTCCTAACTCCTGTTATTTTCTGTCTCCCTAAAAAACCACTTGTAACATTTCTTGTGGGGGAGATCTGGCAGCAAATTCCCTCAATTTTTGTTTATCTGAGGAAATATTTATTTCTCGTTCACTTGTGAAGAAAATTTTGACAGAGTGCAACA